CAAGCCAGGAGATTCCATTATTCTTTTTTTTTCCCCAACAGTGACCAGCCAGATGCCCCTTAGAATTTCATAAGCAGGGAATATAGGCAATTATCCCAATTGGCATTAGTATTTGATGCTCAGGGCCACCTCTGAACTAAACCAATGACATTCATCTTGTTATTTCATTGGCTTTGACTATTAAATGTCTTCACTTTTTAGCTCATTGGTTAAGATTGTATTTGTTTGGTTACTGATCTGAAGCTAGTTTGTTACAAAGCAGGCCACACCATGTCTACTCAGAAGTAAGTCCAGTTGAATTCACTCTCAGGTAAGGGGGCTAGGAGTGTAGTCTTAAGTTATTGTGAGTCGCCTGGTTTTCATTTGCCACTGAATTCAGTAGGAAATTCAATCCTGTTTTCTAATGTTTCTTTCACACAGCAGGACCTAATGTTTTATGGAATTGTGGCTTTTAGACCAATATACTGGCATGTCATGCTAGATTTCATTGACACCTATCAATGTCTTAACCACTTAAAATTGTCATGCAAATATTCTTTATTCTAGAACCTTAGAAAGCACACTGAAGGCAATCCACAGGCTGCTTCTCCTGGTTTCTTAGTTGTTTCAGTAGGATAATTGCTAAAGGCAGTGCTTTTTTCCTAAAAAAAACATGTTTAGGGGTACTGTCATTTTGACTCAGGAAAATCACCATTTTATAGTTCAAATACAGTAAATGGACAAAAGATTCACAAAATGTTTAGGGGTATGTGTACCCCTGTGTACCCCCAGAAAAAAGCACTGGCTAAAGGTATTCACAGGATATATGTGCAGTCTCAAGTACAAGGATTGGAGGTGATTAGGGTGAAATTTTCATATGTCCAAGTCACTCTACGCCACTAACAAGGTATCTCAAGATTTCATAGGGTCCTGACTTGCTCTGTGGACTAGGATGCCTTAAAATGCTGCATTTTAAAAAAGTAAACACTGCATTTTGCTGGGTTTTTTTGTTTGTTTGTTAAAAAATGAAACTAGGGAGATGCCCTGCGCTTGAATGGGGGAAGGAGTGGAAAGGCAGGAGATCTTTGCCAAGTAATAAGTTTTAATCACAGTGAATTATTTTTCCCAGGGCACTCCAGTCACAGTGATTTGGAGGAAAGGATGTTCACAAACGTTTAAGAGAACTCATAGGTTCATTCTACGTTGCTTTTCCTCAGTTCAGCTGTAGGGCTTTCATGTGACTTGCTTGCTCCTATTTATTTTGTTGCAGGCTCCGCTTGTAGCATACTGGATCAAGCACTGTGGATGTATATTGAACGCTCAGCTAAAGAGAGATGTTGTCTATTCTCACTGTGCTACTCTCAGCTGGATCCACAACTAGCCACACTGGACGAAGGTAAAAGTGTCTCTGTGAAATGTCAAGTAATGGTTGTAATCAGCATGACCTGAGAAGAAATTCAGAGCTGCTTTAAAGGGTCTGATTATCCTTTTCAGCACCGGGGGTCGAGAGAAGGATTTAGGTCTTACAGTACATCTCATTGTGCTTTATTGGGGAGAAAGGAAGAGTCAGAGATAGTGGTGGTAACTTAGAAATTCTGGCCCATGGGAAAGCTTTTTTTGAATCTCCTTGGAACCTACTTACAACGCCTGCTGAAAATAGATTTGCCCTTTTCCAGTGACAACAATAAAAGTGAGCACTAGGACATGGTTGCGTGGAAAGGAAATCTTACACTTCCCTTTGTTTGTCAGCTCCACATTGTGCCTGATGACTCCAAGACATGACAACTGTGCATTTTATATCTACGGGATATCTTCTCTGTGAAGGGTGATTATTATGTAGCTTTTGTGGTGCTCATGACTTACTGAAGTCTTTCTCCGGAGTGAAAGAGAAATAATCATCACCCTTCACTGGAGATATTTTATTTGTTCTGTGAGAGACTGCTTCTTCATATTAAAAAAAAAAAAAGTCTAAAAAAGCCCACATCTTAGGTTTGGAATTAGTAAGCACATCAACTTCAATCAGTCAAGTTTTATTTCATACTAACTAAATCTGAAATGTGAATGCTAGCCTTTCATAAGAAGATTTGCTTCTTTTAAAATGCGGACTGCTTTAGTCAGAAAGAGAGCTAAAAGGAGGAGCTGAATGATAATCAGAGAAATTTAAAAGGCTTTATACACCTGAAAATCTACTAGCCCAGGGGTCTGCAACCCACGGCTCCAGAGCTGCATGTGGCTCTTTTACACCTTTGCCGCGGCTCCGGGGCGGATACTAGCGAGGGGAGGAGGCGCATTGTGCGCCCCGACACTCCCCACTGTGGCGGGCGCAGTACTGGCTGTGACGTCGCATGGGGGCGGTGCGTGCGTTAGTCACGCACCGTCCCGACGTCACCTTCCCGCCCGCCCGCTACATTGTAAGGGGCATGTACGTTGGTCATTGCATTGAAAGGGGGCATGTACGCTGGTCACTGTTTTGAAGGGGAGTGAAGAACACAAACACAAAAAGGTAACTTGTTAATTTAACGTTTATTTCTATGAGGAGGAGTAATTCTGAGGGGTCAAACAAAGAAATAAAAAAGTGACAAAAAAGTTATTTTTATAATGACGAGTTTTGCGGCTCCCAGTTTTTTTTTCTTCGGAAATGGGTCCAAGTGGCTCTTTTTGTCCTAAAGGTTGCAGACCCCTGTACTAGCCTATAGTGCGTTTGGAGTTGGATCCATTATGCTCCTGCTCCCTGACATACATACCCCTTAACTGGGAGTAAGTCCCAATGAATTCAGTGGAACTGAGTGCAAAAACAAAAACAAATACTTGCATATATTTCAAAGAAGGTTCAAAATGTTTTCCCTAACATGTTCTTTAAAAGGGGCAAAAGATGCAAGTCCCCTACCCCGCCCCGTTCTCATATAGTGTGCTTCTGGCCAACTCCAACATGACCAAATTGACATGGGAAAGGCGTAGTGCAGGAATATGGGATGAGGGGTAGATATATGTGGCAGAAATCACTGCCACAGAATCTTTATTTCTTGTAGTCCCTCCTACATAGACCAGCTGCCAGAACAGCCCCGAAGAGGCAGGACTCCAGCATTTCTACCCTGCCCTTTTGCCAATAAGAGTCAGAGAGGCTTGCAAAAACCAGTTCTTAGACAGTCCCTGCCCTCAGACAAATAATTTGAGAAGTCATGACACAAACAGGAAAAAAATGGGAGAGAGGAGGGGAAAGGAAGCATAAACACAAGTTAATAAAGATAGTTACATATATTATTAGATTACTGTTCACTAGTCTCACCTTATGTAACATAAGCCTCCTCTTTTTCCTGTCCCTGTAGCTTGTTATCCTGCCCAGGGCAGCTCATTCTCCTCCTTGCCCTCCATGTACACAATGAGGGAGCAACAGAAAGCACACACCATTTTCAGTCTACCCTTGATGGCTTTCCCTTCCCTCATATGCTTAAGAAACCCATTGGCACTGTTCCCATCTGACGCAGCATCTTGTCCTAGCAATGTGTTAAGCCTTCCACCCTTCAACTTAAATCTTGAGCTTGAGCCCAGGTATATGAATTTCAGGAGTACACCGATTCTTGTGTTGCTGGAATCTGGCCCTCCATCTCAGAAGAGAAGAGAGAGAGGCCCCATGAGCTAGTCAGAAACAAGCCACAAAGCAAAGTTGCTCAGTACATGAGATTGCAGAGTAATGCTGTCAGGGTAAAGTGAACTTTGCACTGCCCATCTTTTCACCAATCCCCATATGGTCTTGAAAACTCCCGTTACCAGTTTTATTTTTCATGATTGTGGGAAGCTTGGCTTTAAAAGACTTTAATGTTACCAACATTGTTTTCTGCTAGCTTGCTATGTGCACACAATGGAAGAGGCTGCATTTTATAAGTATCTTCATTCTTCAGGACTTCATTTTTTTATTATTAAAAAAAGTGAGGGAAATAATTCAAAATGCTTTTGAATTATGGTGCTGGAGGAGACTCTTGAGAGTCCCATGGACTGCAAGAAGATCAAACCTATCCATTCTTAAGGAAATCAGCCCTGAGTGCTCACTGGAAGGACAGATCATGAAGCTGAGGCTCCAATACTTTGGCCACCTTATGAGAAGAGAAGACTCCCTGGAAAATACCCTGATGTTGGGAAAGATGGAAGGCACAAGGAGAAGGAGATGGTTGGATAGTGTTCTCGAAGCTACCAACATGAGTTTGAACAAACTGCAAGAGGCAGTGGAAGACGGGAGTGCTCTGGTCCATGGGGTCACAAAGAGTTGGACACAACTAAACGACTAAACAACAACAAGGGAAATGTAAAGAGCAGGGGAAAAAACTTTAGATTATTGTGTGAGATAATAGAGATTGCCAGAATAAAACAAGAATGTACAAACAGCCTGATGGATCCAGCCCATCTAGTCCAGCATCTCAGTCTCCCAGTGGCCAACCAAATGCACAAAGGAAACTCACCCCCTCTTGTCCAATCCAAATCTTTATTATGGTCATAGACCAGCATTATCTCCCTGCTTGTAATTCCCAGCAGCTGTTTGAGAGGCATACTCCATCTGACAGTAGAGGAATAACATAGTTAAGAGCCATTGACAGCCTTATTCTCCATGAATGTCTATTATGAGATTTGTCCTGGACCACTTTGCTGCCCCTTTCCAAACTTCTTAAAAAATATAGTTATGGAACTTGCCTTTAAACCAGGAGCTTTTCAGAACAGATTTACAATCTGAAACACCACGAGAAACTTTCTTTTGCTTCCGACTGACAAGGATTAACAACATGCAGAGCACACCAATCTACTTTAAGGATAAAACAAAAAGCTAATATTGATCTCATAACACTTCAGGCAATTAGGGCCTACTGATACATTCAGAGTATTTGCTAATGTTGTGAAAACTGCAGTTAATGTGGCTATAGTAATAAGTTCTTAGCGCTGCTACAGTTATAAGCATGTATGCCTTAATATGTATATATAGATTCAGGTAGGTAGCTGTGTTGGTCTGACGCAGTCGAAATAAATTTAAAAATTGTCCAGTAGCACCTTAGAGACCAACTAAGTTTGTTCTGGGTATAAGCTTTCGTGGGCATGCACGAAAACAACCCAGAACAAACTTAGTTGGTCTCTAAGGTGCTACTGGACTATATCTATCTATCTATCTATCTATCTATCTATCTATCTATCATCTATCTATATCTATATCTATATCTATATCTATATCTATCTATCTATCATCTATCTATCTATCATCATCTATCTATCTATCTATCTATCTATCATCTATCTATCATCTATCTATCTATCTATCTATCTATCTATCTATCTATCATCTATCTATATCTATATCTATATCTATATCTATCTATCTATCATCTATCTATCTATATCTATCTATCTATCTATCTATCTATCATCTATCTATCATTTATCTATCTATCTATCTATCTATCTATCTATCATCTATCATCTATCTATCTATCTATCTATCTATATCTATCTATCTATCATCTATCATCTATCTATCTATCTATCTATCTATCTATCTATCTATCATCTATCTATCTATCTATCATCTATCTATCTATCTATCTATCTATCTATCTATCTATCTATCTATCATCTATCATCTATCTATCTATCTATCTATCTATCTATATCTATCTATCTATCATCTATCTATCTATCTATCTATCTATCTATCTATCTATCTATCATCTATCTATCTATCTATCTATCTATCTATCATCTATCTATCTATCTATCATCTATCTATCTATCTATCTATCTATCATCTATCTATCTATCATCTATCTATCTGCTGCATTTTAAAGGTTGTTTAGGTGGTATCCCCCACATTAGCTCTTGACTTGTACATATATCCTGGTGACTACCACTGTAATGTTTGCTCTTTTGCTCTCATACTTCAACCCATCTCAGTTTTTTCAGATAAATTCTGAATGGTATCTGTTGTGAAATGATGTCACAAGGAAATCAAGGGAAGCAATGCTACAAAAATATAAAGTAAGAATCAGTGATTTCTTCAGGGCAAACCACTAGGTATAGCTTTTAACTTCCCTTCAAATTATCAAATGTATGATGGCATACTTTACTTCTAATGACATTACCCAACAGAGGACATGTTGAACTTCCCTCAGGCTACACTTCTGAGAACTTGGCTGCCTAGAAATTGGTATGTTAGATATTGATGTATTATAGAAAAATAGACATGATATGGAGCATTTTGAAGCTCAATATTAAAAAGCACTATTGGTCCACAACATTATAAAATATTATTAAGAAGAAAGATGATGCCTATTTCTAAACTCAAATGCAGAAGGGATGTCTGTATAGGACTTGGATGCACTGACTCATTGATCCTGAAATGTTGCTGCCACCAGTGCCCCTTCCCATTTCCACTCCTCCCTTTGCCATTTTACTGCATTTTCTAGGAAAGAGTTGGGGAGTGGCAGAGAAGGCTTGATGGCAATGTCTCCCCTGCTTAGTCTTTTCCTACAGCTTTCAGAAATACTGCACCCCATGCTTTCTCCAAGAGAGCTTAGAAAAACCAAGCTAATTGCGTAGCAAGCCAGAGGGAGCTCAGCTTACCTAGCATGAGCTATAACTCATTTACGTGTGGTTCTTTTTTCAGTTCCTAAGTCAGCCTACCCCCAACATAGCATCCATAGATGTTTTGGACTACAAGTTTGGACTGCAACTCAGCAAAGACTGAGCTGGCTAGGAATGACAACAATTGTAGTCAGAAACATCTGGAGAAATGAGGTTCAAGAAGGCTTTGTTAGGTAATCTGGGCAAGATAGAGTCATAGACTGTAATCAGCTGCCGTACACATGCTGGGTAGATAATGAAAGACCCTGGTTGTATAGTTTTATGCTTAAGATTAAAATTTATAGTATATGAGAACAGCAAACAGACAGGATATGTTTAATCAGGGGATATTTCCTTTCATGGTTTTTTTTGCAGCCAGAAAGAGAAATCTAGCTCATGCATCTATTATTAGGTTGTTTCAATCTGCCAGATACCATTCAGAAGTCCTACCTAGAAATTTTGAGAGAATAGGAATTCCTAATATGATTTGGTCATCTTTATAGAAATTACAGGCAAGAAGCACATAAGCCAAAAATTCTATAACTCCCTAACCACAGGGACAGAGATATTCAGTGTAAGGGATAGCCTTAAGCCAGCCATCAAATACAGTGGAAAGTAAGTAAAAATCAAACAGTATCTGGGAATAGTTAACTCTTCCAAGTATCTAGCATGGCTTTAAAACCCATAGTGGGGAACAAACCCTCTGGGCCGAGAACCCAGAATATTGAATATCAATGTCCTTAATTTGACAAGCAAGAGTGGATTTTGCCTGGCGATAGCCCAGGGTAAGCAAAAGGTTTGAAGATAAACCTAGAAATTGCCATTGGTTAAGGGTTTTATACCACCTGCTGACATACTGATCCTGCTGGAGGAGAAACAGTAGTTCCATGGGAGAGATCCAACTATCTCTATTTGTGATGATGCCATCAGCTATTTTGGTTGATGCCTGAGAATGTTGTAGGCTAGTATTTACACATACACATGTCAAATTTTGTGAGACCAGACAGAGCTCAATAGATGCACCTGCAGCTGTATTGCTTTCTTGGTCTCACAGAGGACACTTACCATGCACTCTGTCACAAAATATATATCCCTCTTGAGAATCCTGAAAGATGGTTCTATTGTCATGTCAAGCCCCATGATCCCTGAAAGAAGGGCATCATTGGAGCTCTGTTCCCATTTTTTGTTTTTGTTTTAATCAACGTTGAAAATTAACTCCACTGTAATTCAAAAGAATGTACCCAGTGACCCGTTAGAGACTTCTTTTATCCTAAATTCTCCTTTGTAAGATAGAAAACTATGACCCAGAAGTGTATGCCTGGCTAAAATTAATCACAATCATCTTCATTTGACAAGCAGGTGTTCTAATTAGCTGCACTTGGAAGTAAGCCTTAGACAGAGAAGTCAAAGCTGATCATATCTGCTACATGTTATTTTTCAATCTTCAATACACTATGGGCTGATTCTTATGGCGGAATGGGTGTAAGAATAGGAAAAAATAGCATTAAAGAGTAAAATCTGTGTGGAATAAAATAATACTCACTCTTACTGTGAGTTCTTCCATGTATTATCTACAGGGATTTTTAAGCGCCACATGATGTTTATTAAAAGAATCCCTAGCAAGAAGAAAAGTGGCATGTTAGAATTAGTCCTTTGAGGAGAAAAGCCATTTGGATTAAATAGAAAACAAGCGTTCCATTGATATTTCAAACAAAAGCCTATATTCATCTGGTTCACCTTTCCACAGATTATAATCCATTGGTCCCTGGATATGTTCAGTGTTTGCCTCTCTTATTGGTGCTTGCCATACATATACATGTGTTTGTATGTCAGAGTTATGAATGACTCTGATGTATGTCAGTTGTCTGAGATGCTTCTGAACTTCCTTCCTGCTCTGTTGCATACTCAGAGAATTCCCTGATTCAAGGGTGGGACCCACTTTTATGTCTAGGGCAGCATTCCCTTGGGAGGTAATCTACTGGATGCTACTTGCTGGTTCTAGGTGGGGCAAAAGGGAGTGATGGTCAGGAGGCAGATCTAGAAGGGGTCAGGACATTGCCTTCTCTTTCTCTGTGTCAGCACTGGCGAAGGAAGGTGGGTGAGGTGGGTGCGGTCCGCCCTGGGTGTCATCCCTGTGGGAGGGTGATATTGCCCCCCGGGACACTCACCACAGGCGGTGCTCCCCTGGGATGCTCACCCCGCCCCTGCGGGAGGCTAACCCTGCCCCCGGGTGCACAGCATGTTGCTCCCTAGCTCCGCCTCTGTGTGTCAGCCCCTTTTCCTTCTGCTCCTCTCCAGCATTGCTACTCCCTGAAATTGAGACGAAGGTAGCATATCAGCCCTGATTCATGGAAAGGATACTTGTGGAGTTTCAAGTCATTGCTTGGATATCTGGTACATTTATTTCATTGTTTGGGGTGGGGAACTAAAACACTGAAAGGGTAGAACAGGCTTATTACTCTCACCCACACACAAAAGAGAAGAATGTTGGTACATTTTACCTCATATCTCAGGTTCAAAAAATGGTAGAAGCTTACTTTTTCTAAAACATAGCAACCCAGGAACACTAAAAAGCAGTTGCCAGGTAGTTGACCTCTTGTCTACTGCACAACTCTCCATACTGGACTTTTTGGGACAATCACCCCTTGGCTTTATAGGATGAGTCTTTCCCCCCTTGCACACAGTTTGCTCCTTCCTTCACAGCATGGCCTGGTAAGTAAGACAAGATGTCTTCAGTTATAACCAGGATCTTCTGTTTTGATGAAACCAGGAAACTATGGTTACCAACCTCTGGAGAAGCCAGGAGCTTAAACTAGCTGATAATTGTAGTTTCCAGGTTCAAATGAAGTTAGAGACTTCCTGACGTGTAGCAAGCAGCCAAAGGAGAAGCAGAAGGGCATTGTGCATGGGTAAAAGACTAGTTAATATTTTGGCTTATTAAGGTTAGAAAAGATAATCTGAATGCAGTCTCTATTTCAGAAGAAAGAGCAAAAACTGCATTATTTAATAGTGTTAATGTTCCTTACAGAGAAGCTTGCACCACTTTGACTAATATAGCAGTTGTGAACTGGTGTATTTTTAATTATACTAAAGTACCCTAGAATGGGGCATGCTAAACATTCAAATGAATAGTAAATGTAGTTAGCCATTGATGTTAACTATCCGTGGTTCCAAAGCATTCCATAACTTAGCCCTCTTTGCATATATTCTGTGCATGATTTCATAACACAACTTCTATAAAAATAAATGTATTCTGCCTGCTTAACCATTTTCTTCAGACTTATTATTATTAAATTTTCTTTGTTTTTAATTTTTTGTAGGACATCATTTCATTTAAAGTACTTTATCTATAAAGAATAAATCATAGCCTCAATTAAATTAGCCATAAATTCTAGCCTCAATTAAATAAATCCAAAGAATGGAAAACTTAATGTTGAATTATATGTACCCGTACATGGGCAGGCAATCTCTGAAGATCTGATGAAAAGAAATTATATTTAAATCTCTGTGGAAACATTGCTGTCTATGATCTTAATT